TCCTAGAAGCAATGTAAGTAACTATACAACCTTTAGAAGACACCTGAAGGCTGCCCTGTGTACAGTGGTGCCCCGCAAGACGAATGCCTCGCAAGACGAAAAACTCGCTAGACGAAAGGGTTTTGCGTTTTTTGAGTCGTTCCGCAAGACGAATTTCCCTATGGGCTTGCTTCGCAAGACGAAACGTCTTGCGAGTTCTTGCGAGTTTGTTTCCTTTTTCTTTTCTTTTTTTTTTAAAGATATTTATTAAAGTTTCACAAAATACAGAAAACAAAGAAAAAAGTATAAATTACAGCAAAAAAGTAAAAAGTAAGAAAAAACATACAAAATAAAACAGTTAAAAACACAATAATGTTCCATAACCTATCTTCCTTACTCTTATTTCCCCAGACTTCCTCATACCTCCCTTCTTTGTATTCCAATTCAGTTTGTTGGTTCAGCAAATCCTTACCATTAATCTTTTACCCAATTGTTAACCATTTTTTTCATGTCTCTTAAAGCATTACAGCTAAAAACCTCTTAATTTCTATCCAACATCCTTCTAAAGTTCCTTAATTTTACAATATTTCTGTAAATAGTCCTTAAATTTTTTCCAGTCTTCTTTCACCGACTCTTCTCCCTGGTCTCGGATTCTGCCAGTCATTTCCGCCAATTCCATGTAGTCAATCACCTTCATCTGCCATTCTTCCAAAGTGGGTAGATCTTGTGTCTTCCAATACTTTGCGATAAGTATTCTTGCTGCTGTTGTAGCATACATGAAAAAGGTTCTGTCCTTCTTTGGCACCAGTTGGCCGACAATGCCCAAGAGAAAGGCCTCTGGTTTCTTCAGAAAGGTATATTTAAATACCTTTTTCAGTTCATTATATATCATTTCCCAGAAAGCCTTAATCTTTGGGCACGTCCACCAAAGGTGAAAGAATGTACCTTCAGTTTCTTTACATTTCCAACATTTATTATTGGGCAAATGATAAATTTTTGCAAGCTTGACTGGGGTCATGTACCACCTGTATATCATTTTCATAATATTCTCTCTTAAGGCATTACATGCCGTAAACTTCATACCTGTGGTCCATAACTGTTCCCAGTCAGCGAACATAATGTTATGTCCAACATCTTGTGCCCATTTAATCATAGCAGATTTCACCGTTTCATCCTGAGTATTCCATTTCAACAGCAAGTTATACATTCTTGACAAATTTTTAGTTTTGGGTTCTAACAATTCTGTTTCTAATTTTGACTTTTCCACTTGGAAGCCTATTTTCTTATCCAAGTTATATGCCTCCATTATCTGATAGTAGTGGAGCCAATCTCTCACTTTATTTTTAATTTTTCAAAACTCTGCAGTCTCAATTTATCTCCTTCTTGCTCCAAAATTTCCCAATATGTCGGCCATTTGGCCTCCATATTGAGCCTTTTCAGAGCTTTTGCTTCCATTGGTGACAGCCACCTTGGGGTTTTATTTTCCAATAAGTCTTTGTATCTTATCCAGACATTAAACAATGCTTTCCTAACAATATGATTTTTGAATGCTTTGTGTGCTTTGACCTTATCATACCATAAATATGCATGCCATCCAAATACATTGTTAAAACCTTCTAAATCCAAAATGTCTGTGTTTTCAAGAAGTAGCCATTCTTTCAGCCAGCAAAAAGCTGCTGATTCATAATAAAGTTTAAGGTCTGGCAGGGCAAATCCACCTGTTTCCTTGGCGTCAGTTAATATCTTAAATTTTATTCTGGGCTTCTTGCCCTGCCAGACAAATCTAGAAATATCTCTCTGCCACTTCTTGAAACAGTCCATCTTATCTACAATTTGTAATGTCTGAAACAAAACAACATTCTAGGCAATACATTCATCTTTATCACAGCAATACGGCCCAGCAACGAGAGTTTCAAATTTGACCAAATTTCTAAATCTTTTTCACTTCCGTCCAACATTTTTCGTAATTATCTTTAAATAAGTTCCCATTTTTGGCTGTCATATTAATCCCCAAGTATTTCACTTTCTTTACCACATTCAATCCTGTCTCATTCTGAAACCTCTCTAGTTTTTAACTTGTTCAATTTAAAACCTGCCACCTGACCAAATTCCTGAATTAATTCTAAAACTCTTTTAGTACTAGATTCTGGCTCCTGTAACGTCAATACTAGGTCATCTGCAAATGCTCTCAATTTGTACTGTTTAGCTCCGACCTGTATGCCCTTAACCAACCGGTCCTTTCTAATCATATTTAGCAAAACCTCCAGGACCGATATAAAAGCAGAGGGGAAATTGGGCACCCTGTCGTGTCCCTTTTCTATCTTAAATTCTTCCGTAACCACATTATTTACAATTAATTTAGCCTTTTGTTCAGAGTATATTGCACCTATACCATTTTCAAAACCTTGGCCTACCCCCATCCCATGCAGATTCTTCTTCATAAAACTCCAAGAGATATTATCAAAAGCTTTCTCCGCGTCAACAAATATCAATACTGCTTTGGTGTTTATATTCACTTCTAATTTTTCCAAAATATCAATTATATTCCTCAAGTTATCAGACAGATGTCTTCCCGGGAGAAAGCCCGCTTGGTCTTTATGAATCTCTTTCATCAATATTTTTTTCAATCTCTTGGCCAAAATGTCTGCAAAAATTTTGTAATCCACATTAAGTAACGATATAGGGCGATAGTTCTTAAGCTGTTTCCTTTTTCTTAAAGCCGCTAAGCCGTTAATAGCCGCTAAGCCGTTAATAGCCGCTAATAGCCGTGCTTCGCAAGACGAAAAAACCGCAAGACGAAGAGACTCGCGGAACGGATTAATTTCATCTTGCGAGGCACCACTGTAGTTTTATTATGTTTTTATATACAGTGGTACCTCGGGTTACATACGCTTCAGGTTACATATGCTTCAGGTTACAGACTCCGGTAACCCAGAAATAGTACCTAGGGTTAAGAACTTTGCTTCAGGATGAGAACAGAAATTGTGTGGCGGCAGCGGGAGGCCCCATTAGCTAAAGTGGTGCTTCAGGTTAAGAACAGTTTCAGGTTAAGAACGGACCTCCAGAACGAATTAAGTACTTAACCCGAGGTACCACTGTATGTTGGAAGCAGCCTAGGGTGGCTGAGGCAACCAGTCAGGCGGGGTATAAAGAATAAAATTATTACTATTTTTATTTTATGGAATAGGACATCCCTATTTTCATCAGAGAAATGTTGGAGGGTATGTTGTGTTGTGTGTGTGTGTGTGTGTGTGTGTTGTTGATACTTTCACCCCTCCCATTGCAAGAATCTCCTGATCTGATGTTTTGAGAAAGGAGGGGCGGAAACTGATCTTCTACTGACTGCCTGACTGTGTGGAGAGAGTCTTATCTACGTAGTGACTAGATGGCTGACTGGGATATGTAACACTCATGCAAGCCAGTAGTTTGTTAGTTTGTAGTAGCTATTAGAAATAAACGGAGTTATGCTTCACAGCTATCTTCCGTGTTATTTATACTCTGCGTGAGTCTGGTGTTCACAATGCACAGTTGCGAGTCCAGTGCACTGGGACCTGTTTTCCAGGATTGGAAGGTCTCTGAAAGTGCTCCTGTCGCCTAGCCCAGTCGGGGCAGAACCAGTTACTGAGCCCAGTCACGGACATCGGTTGAAAGGTGTACTGACGTCTCTGTGTGAGAGAGATCATCTACCCTGTTAGCAGCAATAGGAAGCCCAACTGGGGCAAGGGAGGACTTCTTCTGGAGCAGGGCATACAGGACTAGGAGCCAAAATGGCACAATTCCAGGCAAATTGCTTCCAGGAACTCTCCTGGTTTGTGCAGGTGTTAGCTGATTTTCACCTTGCGTTCCCATCAGCCAGAAAGCTTGTCTGTAATCCCTTTCCAAATGTGTCCCAATGTAGTGACAGAAGCTGGGGCGGGTTGATTTTCTTGTTAATCTCACAGCTGTTCAGCTGTATTTGTAATGTTTGGAGTTTGTCTGAAGGGGGCAGCAGATAACTTATTAAACCCTATTAGTATCCCTCCTTTTAAAAAAATACAATTGCAAGACTTTTTCCTTGAGTTTCTTGTGTTTTCCTCCCCTCAAAAATAAATAAATAAAAGGCCCTAATTTATCCATCGACTATTTGAGAAGCTTGAAAAAGTAACACTCATTCTGTGGGTATCTGCTTTCAAAGAAAGTAAGGTAAAGGTAAAGGTACCCCTGCCCGTACGGGCCAGTCTTGCCAGACTCTAGGGTTGTGTGCTCATCTCACTCTATAGGCTGGGAGCCAGCGCTGTCCGCAGACACTTCCGGGTCACGTGGCCAGCGTGACAAGCTGCATCTGGCGAGCCAGCGCAGCACACGGAACGCTGTTTACCTTCCCGCTGGTAAGCGGTCCCTATTTATCTACTTGCACCCGGGGGTGCTTTTGAACTGCTAGGTTGGTAGGCGCTGGGACCGAACGACGGGAGCGCACCCCGCCGCGGGGATTTGAACCGCCGACCATGCGATCGGCAAGTCCTAGGCGCTGAGGTTTTACCCACAGCGCCACCCGCGTCCCTTCAAAGAAAGTAGCACTAGTTCAATAACCAGAGAGTCAATGCAGGAGCCTTGAATTAAAAGTTTCACATCTGTTGCTAGTATGACCAATGGCCAGGGAAGGAGGAGTTGTGGTCCAGTAACATCTGCAAGGCCACAGGTTCCCTATGCTTGACACAGAGGTTCCCTCATATAATCATAGCTGTCAACTTTTCCCTTTTCTTGTGAGGAATCCTATTTGGAATAAGGGAATTTCCCTTAAAAAAAGGGAAACGTTGACAGCTATGCATATAAGGAAACAAGAGTTTGACAAGGGCAGGTGGAGGCACCTCCCAAAACAAGAAGGGCAGAATATCAGGCTTGTCGGTGGTCTTGAAAGGGCTGCACTCTGGCACCTACCTGGGAGTAAGTCCCCTTGTGACACGGGTGGCACTGTGGTCCAAACCACCGAGCCTCTTGGGCTTGCTGATCAGAAGGTTGGCGGTTCAACTCCCCGCAACAGGTTACATACGCTTCAGGTTACACACACTACTAACCCAGAAATAGTGCTTCAGGTTAAGAGCTTTGCTTCAGGATAAGAACAGAAATTGGGCTCCGGTGGCGCGGCGGCAGCAGCAGGAGGCCCCATTAGCTAAAGTGGTGCTTCAGGTGAAGAACAGTTTCAGGTTAAGTACGGACCTCTGGAACGAATTAAGTACTTAAGCCGAGGTACCACTGTATTTACTTTGTGGGATTTGATATCAGATAGGCGTAAGTTTTCCATTTCATTTTTTTGCAAGAAAGCAACTCCTGATCTCATTTTGTCCTTCTAAAGACCTATAAAGACCGGTTGCCAAGATAGCTTAAGCTAAGGATTAGTTTGGGAATTCTTCTATTTTATTATTATTACAGTGGTGCCCCGCAAGACGAATGCCTCGCAAGACGGAAAACCCGCTAGACGAAAGGGTTTTCCGTTTTGGAGGTGCTTCGCAAAACGAATTTCCTATGTGCTTGCTTCGCAAGACGAAAATGTCTTGCGAGTTCCTGCGGGGTTTTTTCCTCCCCCCCCCCTTTTTCCCAAGCCGCTAAGCCGCTTATCAGCTGATCCGCTAAGCCCGCTAAGCCGCTAATACTGTAGCGCTAATCCGCTAAACCGCTAATGGGCTTGCTTCGCAAGACGAAAAAACCCGCAAGACGAAGAGACTCGTGGAACGGATTCTTTTCGTCTTGCGAGGCACCACTGTACCTTTATATACCACCTATTTCTTCCAAGTAACTCAAGGTAGTGTAGGTTCATCCTCACAACAATCGTGTGAGCTAGGTTAGGCTGAGAGGCCGTGACTGGCCCAAGCTCACCCAGAGAGCTTCATGGCTGAGTGGGGATTCGAACCCTGGTCTCCCAGCTCCTAGTCTAACACTCTAACCCAGGGGTCAGCAAACTTTTTCAGCCGGGGGCCGGTCCACTGTCCCTCAGACCTTGTGGGGGGCCGGACTATATTTTGAGAAAAAAATGAACAAATTCCTATGCCCCACAAATAACCCAGAGATGCATTTTAAATAAAAGGACACATTCTACGCATGTAAAAAGATGCTGATTCCCAGACCGTCTGTGGGCTGGATTTAGAAGGTCATTGGGCCTGATCCGGCCCCTGGGCCTTAGTTTGCCTACCCATGCTTAAGCATTATGCCACAATGGCTCTAGGACAAGTGGGATTCTAGGGTATGTGGATCACAGATGCCCCCTCCCAATAATATTCCTGCTACCAGCTTGGGACAGGACGCTTGCCCTCAGTCTTAGAAGCTCACAGGTTGTTGTTGGACCACTAAATAATAATAATAATAATAATAATAATAATAATAATAATAATAATCCTTTTGAAAATTTACAAACCTCTATACAACAGCACACCTAGGGCATTCTCTTGAGTATATGGAAACTGTTCCTTGTGGGGAGGAGTGGGGCTGTGCGTCATTTCCTGCCTAGCTAGCTGGTTTCACTGAAAAGGATTATACCAATAATTGAGTAGGAAGGCCAGCGCTGAGCTTAAAAATATATAGCTATTTTGTACACTTCAAAGGGATAATCACATGATCCACACCAGATCTCCAGCTTGAAGCGAACCAGGACTCTTCTACATCTCCACAAATTACAGCTGAGCAGCAAGCACACTTTTTTTAAAAAAAATCCAGGTTGGGAGGGCGGTTAAGGCAGGGATGGGAGGAAAGAGAAATAAAAGAAGAGTGAAGCTGAGCTACTACCTCAGCAGTGCTAACCTACTGACAAGATATCAGGGTAGCCAGTGTGGTTCTCTCTTATTATTATTATTATTATTATTTTCATTTCTAAGGTAAAGTAAAGGTACCCCTGCCCGTACGGGCCAGTCGTGACCGACTCTAGGGTTGCGCACTCATCTTGCTCAAGAGGCCAGGAGCCGGCGCCGTCCGAAGACACTTTCGGGTCACGTGGCCAGCGTGACGAAGCTGCTCTGGCGAGCCGGCACCAGCACCACACACGGAAATGCCGTTTACCTTCCCACTAGTAAGCGGTCCCTATTTATCTACTTGCACTTAGGGGTGCTTTCGAACTGCTAGGTGGGCAGGAGCTGGGACCGAAAGACGGGAGCTCACCCCGCCGCAGGGATTCGAACCGCCGACCTTACGATCAGCAAGTCCTAGGCACTGAGGTTTTACCCACAGCGCCACCCGCGTCCCATAATTTCATTTCTATTCCGCTTTATATTTTTAAGAAAAATCTCAAAGCGGTTTGCATATTAAACATCAGTAAAACAATCCAGAATCAAACATTTCTGAAGAAAATAAAATATAAAGTATGTAGTCAAAGCAACATAATTAACAGGAAACTAAAATATTATCTTAAAGATTTCAAAATAAAACATTATAAAGGAGGTCAAGTACAGAATACATATTTAACACAAACAAAGTTAACCAAAAAAATATTATTCCTAAACATTTCAAAAGAAAAGAATGTTAAGTGAAGTCAAATATAAAATGCACATTTAAAACAGCATAGTTAACAAGAGAATATCATTGGACTACAACTCCCATCATCCTAATCATTGGCCCTGCTGGCTGAGGTTGATGGGAGCTGGAGTCCTAGACAGGGTGCCCATCCCTGGTCTAGCAAACAATCTGGCAGTCTTTGAATTGGTTTCCATTAACTGCTAGACTAACACGCCAGGAATGTTTGGGAAGGAAGGGGACATATTTCAGCAAACTGAGTTAGATTATAGGGCATCCTTGCCAGACGTACAATTCCGTGATTGATTTTGCGAAATGTGCAATGTTGCTCCTTTCTCCACCCCATAAATCTTGCCGCTATAGCTCTTCAAGTTGTGTGGTTGCAGCCGCTTAAATGCTTGCAGGAATAAAACGGTCTTTCATAAACGAAACGAAGCAAAAACCCCAAAATAAACATGACGGAGGAAAGAGGAGGTTACGGTAGCTTCACAAATCATGTAGCCCACAATCAAGCAAAAGTTACGCAATTTTAAATCCAAAGGATTTGAGCTGGAGAGTTAAACAAATGCATCAATATCTCCCATGGAGCTGGCTTATTTGTTTTTGCCTCGGTCATGTCTTCATTTTACATTTTTGAGGTATTTTTGAACCTT